GTGTGGTACGGTGTGAGTGGGAAGGTAGCTTCAAATTTCAATGGTTGATTGTGGCAGGTGAAGATGGGTCCTCTGAGTGTGTCTCCCATGGGGTTTGGAACTTGGGCATGGGGCACCAAAATGATTTTTGTCAAGAAGCTTGAGTGAGCAAAGACAGAAGCTTGAGTGAGCAAAGACAGAAGCTTGAGGCACCAAAATGATACGAGTGGCTAAAGAAGAAGAAAAAAAAAATAAAAAATGGACCCTACTGCCTCGGTTCAGGCTCCAACCGAGGCAGTAAAGGAAGAGAAACGATTTCGGTTGTTAGAACCGAGGCCTAATCGTATTATTATATGTCCCGTTTCAAAACCGAGGCATAAAGTCCACTGCTTTTTACCTCACCTGAATATGCCTCGGTTCAGGAATCGGTGTCTATCAGCGAAAATAACCGCTGTCGTTTCCCTTTACTGTACTAGTGTTTTGAAGAACTTATTTGTTGAACTTGTTTGTTGTTTGTTGTTTGTTTTTTGTTGAACTTATGAAGGTTATGAAGGTCTTAAAAACCATAATCCATCTTATATGATTACAAAGGTCTACTTAACAACAAGTATTTTCAATATATGGATTTGATCCAATTGATTCGTGATTAAGCCTCCAGTGACTCAGTGGCGTGTAATGATTCTCGTTTAGAAGATTTATGTTAAACCAATAAGGTGGAGACTTACGAAGATTGATTTACCAAATTCTTGTTAAGGCTTTTTTGTACCATCTAACTGTTCCAAATCTTCTAATGTAATATGTGTATCTTATAGTATCAATGTAAATATGCTTAATACAATGTTTATTCTCCAAGTGTCTACAAAGATTAATATTTTTTTTTTGGGTTTTGATTGGTAATAAAAAAAGATTAACCAATTCATTAACTTAGGTGTGGACAAAATTTAAATTTCCATATCTAATTCATACTTATTCAAATCCATATTACTATAAATATATTTTAATAGTCAAAATTTATATTTTTAAATTTTAAGTCCAATCCAATTAATTGAATTTTAATTGAATATATTTTTTAATTGTATAAATCCAAAATCAAAATAAGTCTTAATTAGTTTAAGTTATGAAATATTAGATTAACCTAATAACTCACACACAAAATATTGAAGAGGATTGGATTGAATAAATAATAATTTTTCTCACACGACAGAATGTGCTCATTTATTTTCATTTGGAGTTCAAGAAGTAAAATTCTTGAGTACTTAAACATTTTCAAGACTTATAATAGGCACTAGAAGAACCATTCGTATATGCTAAACACCCTTCTCAATTGATTCAAGGAAAGTTTAAACGATAATTTTCACCTGTAAAAACCGAAAGTCTATTTATCCAAACACCTTTAAGGGAAGCTTGGGAATGTTTAACTATTTTTTTTTATCAAACTAGTAAATAATAATAATTATCAAAGACAGCTTTAGTGGCAACTGTAAAGAAAAAGTCACTGCCAAGGAGTTATTACAAATGTCTGTTCAAATTTGATTTTTCTTTCAAGAAACAAAAAATAATAATCTTTTAGAAACAAGTAAATAATTTATTTTCCTCAACAACAAATATTCATATATTTTGGAGTATTTGAATGCTTCAAGATAATATTAGTTTCTACAATGTTTCTTTGAATATTTCACCTGTCATTATTATGATTAAATTTAGATCCTTGTTTATGTGTATTATGTTAACTTCAGAATTCTTAAATTCTTTAATATTGATAGTTATTATGATAAAACACCAAAAAGTTTAAACGTTGTTGAGAAAAAAGAAAAAGGAAAACTGATTATTGATAGTTTTTCTAAAGGATGTTGGAGTCTTCTTGTTATTGTTTGGCATTTTTAGAGGTTTTAGTGGGAGTTTATTGGTGTCTTTACTTTTGGGATTTGAATTGGTATGTACCTTTATCGTGATTGTTATTCATGGAAAACTTATTGGGTGTTGCGCCCTCTATCACCACACCTTTCTCCCTCCATCTCTCCAATTTATTTTAATTCCAATTATATTCTCAGATTAAAATTTTTTACTTTTACTATTTTAATTTATTTCAAATCTAGTTCTCCTACTTTACTCCTGCACCCAATCTTTCCATCTCTCATTTTCGTTTAATAATTTGTCTTTCGTTTTAGTCTGCAACCCAATTTGTCTTTTCTGTTTCACTTCTCCTCCTCCGTTTCTTTCTTCTTCATTTTCTTTACATTATTAAAATACATTAAAAATATATTAAAAAATAATAAATCAAAACATTTAAATTAAATTATTAAAATATTTCCAAAATAAAGAATAAACTAATAAAAGAAACCCTAAAATAAAAAACGTAACTTTTAAACGGAGGTTACATCCTTCAACGGATGTCAACATCCGTTTAAGGAAAAACGGATGCCGACATCCGTTTAAGGAAAAATGGATGTCGACATCCGTTTTACCTTAAACGGATGTTGACATCCGTTGAAGGATTTTGAGATCCGTTGAAGAATTTTGAGATCCGTTGAAGGATTTTGACATCCGTTGAAGGATTTTGACATCCGTTGAAGGATTTTGGCATCAGTTGAAGGATGTCTTAAAGGTTACGTTTTTTATTTAGGGTTTTATTTGAAGGTTTATTTAAATACGCACCTTGAGGAAGCAACACATACTGCACCACTCCACATACTACACTACGAGAGCGACAGTGCACCACGAGAGAGACTGCTTGATAATTCTTTCCACCACCACCAACCTTTGCAACTTGTAAAAGAAAGAGAGGAAGAAATATAATGTTAAAATGAAAGAAAAATATTTTACTCATGTACGGGACACTAGAATAGGTTATTAGTGGAATAGGTTGTGAATGGGTAAAATTAAAAAATAATCC